CTCTGCTGTGCTGTACATTGGAGATTAATGGTAGGCACAGGACACTGAAAGGGAAGATTTACCAATGAACAGAAATACTGAATGAAATGCCCCATAAACAAAATTATAGTCTCTAAATCTTCAAATTCCTGGAAAGCCTATACCAATGCCAAGGAGAAAAGGAATCAAAGCAGCCAAGAAAATAATTGCATTCTTTCATAAATAATTTCTCAATCAACAGAAATTTTTGTATGTGTTAAGTTAAAAAGGAAAACATTTTTTTAAATTGAGGAAAACAGTGTAGAGATTTAAAAAATACTTTCCTTTTTTTTTCTTTTTACTTTTCTTGAAGAAAAGCAAACTTATATTTCCACAAGATAAAAAGTGTGGCCCTGAAAATTTTAGTAACCTTAATGAAATAATTCAAGTTACACCATGCCAAAAACTTAGTTTAGCTAAGAACCCGTATCCTTTTAGGTAGAGCCCAAAATCTTAGTTCTTAAGCTTCTGTATGTCTCTGCAGTCTCCTGAAAAGCTGAAGCCAGATATATGAAAATGTTCAGGAAAATAACTCCCACCTTCTTTGTCAAATCTTTCTTGGATCTGAGCTAAACTTCCACAAGTGAAGTTCCTGAGCATTTGTTTGTCTATGTGTGGAATTATCCTCTTCTACGCACTACTGCACACTTTGGTTTCTTTTTAATTCATAAGTCCTGTCCTTCACTGATCTTGCCTGGAAATCATTGTCTTGGTGTGCTTTCCTTACACCAAGAAAAGCATAGTGAAAGGAGAGGAAAACCTCTTTTACTTCTTCATGTGTTGGTAATCAGCATATTCAATTAGGAAAAGCGGAATCAAATCCTTCCTTTGAGCAGATTTTAAGTGAAAAATCCAATTCTTTAGATCATTCTGCTATTTGGCTTTCTCATTCCAGTGGACATAATTTCATTTAATATATAAAAAAATATATATTTCAGAATTGCCTGAGATATGATATTTAGAAAGTTCAATGAAGAGGTTAGGAAATTGGAGAAGAAAATGCATTAAATGCAGTAGAAAGCATTGAACATGGTGTTATTTAATCCTGGATGTTGCAACTTGAAAAAAGAGAACAACCCTTGAAAGAAGATGATAAGAACAACTGGAGCAAAGAGGACAAGACCAGGCCTGACAAAGTGTCTTAGGACATTGGAGTGAGCACTAACACTCTCTGCAACATCCACAGAGCACACTGCATCACTGTCTAGAGGGAGCAGGTGGAGACAGCAATCCCGAGGAGATCCTGCATACAGAAACATTATGAAGTGCACGGTAATATTGTCTTACTATATTTTATAGTTCCTTTCTCCTGTTGCTCTAAAGCATGATATGTTAAGGGCTGACAATGTATTCTTTAGTCACTTGCTGCTCATTGAAATTGACTTGTGATAGAATATTTAGTGCAGTAATCAATGTAATTTAACCAAAGTTGAGCCAGCACAGGGGTTTGTGCTGGTGCAGCTCTGCCAGTTCTGCTTCCAGAGCCTCCCTGTCTGCAGCAGAACAAAGGGTGCTTCAGCCTTCATCAGAGCAACACCTCAGATCCCTGAACAGAAGCAGGATGTCAGAAACACCATGCAGCTTTTCCCTGAGCAACTCAAGACCATGCTCTGTGTACGGAGCTCAGGCATTTTGTTGGAAGCTGCAGTGCATAACAAGTGGCAAATTACCTTTTCCATTTGAGTCTTTGAGGTTCCTGTTATGACTGAGCGACCTGTGTCTCATCTAGAACCTGCAAAAGCAGAAGTGAATTAATAGATTTTGCCTTTATATTTCTTGGTATTATTTGCATTGATGGGCTTACAGCTGTACACAGCTGTACTACAGCTGTAGTACGAACATGAGTGTCATTTAAAGCAAAGTAGCTGAAGAGAGTACAGGGTGCACTACAAAAATGGCTCTACACTGCAAAAAACATTTCCAACACACATGAGATTTTATCCAGAAAACAGAAAAACTCATTTTCTTATAAAGACACATTTCTTTTTGTACTTGAATTTTATGTTGAATGAAGTTTGTTATGCAGCAATAAGAAGTACAAACACTTTAAATGTGTCAAACACTGGATTGCACTCAGTTGCTGGACACCCTTGGTGCTGGTCCTCTGCTTCACTGGAGAACAGTCATGAGACTACTTATTAGATTAAAGCTTGGGTAAATATTTGTGTAAGGGTGGACTGTTAAGAAATGAAATGTAAATTGTTCTATATACAAAACCATTATTTATCCATTTACTTTTTTTATATTCCAGTGTGGGATTGGTTTCCCTGAATATATCTGAAAATAACTTGTGAAATATTTGATGAAACCTTATCAACAGTGGGCTCCACCAAGTACATTATTTCCTACACAAGAGAAATAGTAGGTTTCATGTTAATATGAATTATTTGCAAGATGAAAGGCTATGACTAAGACACCCTGAAGGAATTCTCTCATTTTCAGCATAGAGAAGCATTGCTGAGAAGCGTGCCAAATGATGTCACCCTTCCAAATGCACAGCAAACATATCCTACACTTGTTTGTCTCTAGAATGTGCTAACAAGAGGAATAAGCTTAATTACTCCCCACTAATACTACAACCGGTTTTTTTTCTAAATCCAACATCATGTGCAACTTGAGTCTGACAGAGATATTTTAAAAAATATTAAAAAATAAAGAAAAAAGAAACAAGAAAAAACAAACAGTTTTTTTCTTTGAATCTTGTAATATTTTGGTCTAGGGTTTCTTTTATTGATTGTTTCCCTGATTTCTGAGACTTCTTTGTTCTTTGTGTATTTAGGGAATGGATCTCCTTACATGGATTTCTGGCAAAATCAATGGCGAGCATATGAATGTAAGTCACAAGATTGGGTTTTTGTTTATGTTTTTTAAATCAGAAGATTTTACTAATATGTAAGAAGATTTTTCTGACCAATAATATGATCTGTACTCCACAAGAATTATTTTTTACTAAATTTAAATGGAAGAATATTTTTATGATAGAGCACAGATTCAACAATAGAAACAGCTGTTATCTTTGGAGAAAAAATTATTTGTGAAAATTTTAAATTCAGTGAAAGTATAATGATCATGGAAGTTATTTCAACCAGCTGTAAGATAGAGGTTTTCATTACTGGCAAACATTTTTGAAAGTTTTCTGTCAAAAGTTCTGCTTTTTAAAAATATTAAACGGGCTTATTGAAAAATCTGAAACTGATCATAATGGTTATTTTGACTTACTGATTTCAACACTCCGTACACAAAGTGGGAAAACAAATACATTTTTTTCCAGTTGTGGCATAGTTTTTTATAAGAAATATCTCTGATTTTAGAAAAGAATTTATTTCTGCTAATTATAGTAAAGGAAGAAGTGCTCCAACTACATAGTCAATATTTCAGAGTTGTAAAATCAAAATATATGAATATATTTTGATATAATATATCACAATTGATATATTATTGAATATATCAATTGATATTTTGTTTGATATTTTGAGTTGTAATTTTGGCTCACAAAAGCTGTGAGGCTTCCATGTTTCAGGAAAGGAAGCAGCTCTTTTGGCCCCATGGACAGGGGGATGGAGTGCACCCTCACCGAGCTGTGTGGTGGAGCTGACACTGGAGGGAAGGGATATGTCTGAAGGGACTGGACAGGATGGAGAGGTGGGCTCCTGCAAACCTCATGAAGTTCAAAAAGGGCAAGTGAAAGGTCCTACACCTTGGTTGGGGCAATCCCAAGCATAATGACAGATTGCATAGAGGGAGAATGGATTGGGAGCAGCTCTCAGGAGGACTGGGGGGTGCTGGTGGATGAGAAGCTCGACATAACCTGGCAATGTGCACCTACAGTCCAGAGAGCCAACTTCATCCTGTGCTGCATCAAGGGACATGTGGGCAGCAGGGCAAGGAAAGTGATTCTTCCCCTCAGCTCCACTCTCGTGGGACCCCACATGGAATATTGCATCCAGCTCTGGAGCCCTCAACATGGCATGAACCTGTTAAACTGGATTCAGAGGAGGCTGCAAAGATGATCAGAGGAATGGAGGACCTCTCTTATGAAGACAGGCTGACACAGCCAGAGTTGTTCTGCTTGGAGAAGATACTATTTCAGGAAGACCTTCTAACACCTTCCAAAAGTGGTCCTGGAAGGTGATAAGACTGTATAAGGCTTTTTACAAGGGCATGTAGTAAAAAGACAAGGGAGAATAGCTTTAAACTAAAAGAGGATAGATTTATATTAGATATTAGGAATTCACTTTGAAGGTGGTGAGGCAGTGGAAGAGTTCAAGGCTTTGGATGGGGCTTTGAGCAACCCGGTCTAGTGGAAGTTGTCCCTTCCCATGACAGGGGTGTTGGAACTAGATGATATTTAAGGATCCTTTCAACCCAGACTCTTCTATGATTCTTTGAACATTATTAACTTTTCAGTCTGGGTATCAGTTTCCAGCCAAGTGCTGCAGGTAAATGATCAGAAATGAAGAGCAAGACAGACACCTCACAGGCATCAGAAATGAACACCGAAGGTATGTGCGTGAGGAAACCCAAGCCTGTCCTCTCCTTTCCTGGTGGCCCTGTCAGAGCAAACAGCTCAGGAGCCAGCTCTGGCCTTAGTAGCTGCTCACATGGCAGCTGCTCATACCCTGTGTTCCTCTCTCATCTGTCTCATTTTGCTGATATTTATGAAATGTTGGTTTCAAGTGACACAAACCATTGATGTATCCTCGGTTTCTACATTACTGAAAAGTCCTTATGGCTCCTGCCTTGGTGTAGCTTAATTGGTGTGTAAGTAGCAAGCTACTTAATTTCATGGGCTTTGATCTTTTATCTAAGTCTAAAAGCTGTTTCTGAGGCTCTTTTCTCATTTGAGATCCTAATTTTTTATATTATTAAATTAAGTTAAATAATAAAAGTAATTTTGACAAATTTCTTATAAAATATTTTATTTATATTTTCTTTTTTCTATTAAAATTAATTTACTTTTTTTTTCTTAAAGACATGTATATTTCAAGAAAAAAAAAATCAAATTCAATGGTCTACTTAATACAGTCCTCTCATGTTCCCTTAAATAATAATGAAAGAAATGCAGAAGAATCATGGAACATATACAGAAAAGAAGCCAATAATATACTAAGTACACTGTGACTGAGGAACTGAAAATAGGCCAGCACACTGTTCTCAAAGCTGGTTTGCAGAACATGTACAGTAAGAGAGCTTCCACTGGGGGTTTTCAGCATCCAGTGCCTGTTTCTATCTTTGGTGTCTCCAATGAATACAAGAGCACAGCTGCAACATTCTCAGGTATGGGGGGAACCCTCTGGCTGTACCTTCTAGGTTTTGAGTCAGTAAATATTTTAAATCAGCTATTATTGGTTTCTTAAATCTTTCTGGTCATGTGTTTCTTCACTATGGGACCTCAGAATAAATGTCAGGAATAATTAGCCGACATTTGGTGAAAATCCCCAAAGAAAGAAATGTTATTCTGTAAATCTCTAAGTAGGAATTTTAGAAATATTTCATTGTATTGCCCTTTTATTCTTCACAACCGAGACTGACACGATTCACCCTTAAACTGAGGTCCCTCGGTATTTTATTTTTTATTTTCTTCTTTTCTTTTCTTTTCTTTTCTTTTCTTTTCTTTTCTTTTCTTTTCTTTTCTTTTCTTTTCTTTTCTTTTCTTTTCTTTTCTTTTCTTTTCTTTTCTTTTCTTTTCTTTTCTTTTCTTTTCTTCCCTTCCCTTCCCTTCCCTTCCCTTCCCTTCCCTTCCCTTCCCTTCCCTTCCCTTCCCTTCCCTTCCCTTCCCTTCCCTTCCCTTCCCTTCCCTTCCCTTCCCTTCCCTTCCCTTCCCTTCCCTTCCCTTCCCTTCCCTTCCCTTCCCTTCCCTTCCCTTCCCTTCCCTTCCCTTCCCTTCCCTTCCCTTCCCTTCCCTTCCCTTCCCTTCCCTTCCCTTCCCTTCCCTTCCCTTCCCTTCCCTTCCCTTCCCTTCCCTTCCCTTCCCTTCCCTTCCCTTCCCTTCCCTTCCCTTCCCTTCCCTTCCCTTCCCTTCCCTTCCCTTCCCTTCCCTCCCCTTCCCTTCCCTTCCCTTCCCTTCCCTTCCCTTCCCTTCCCTTCCCTTCCCTTCCCTTCCCTTCCCTTCCCTTCCCTTCCCTTCCCTTCCCTTCCCTTCCCTTCCCTTCCCTTCTTCTTCTCTCCACCACAGAATTTATATTTTATTGATGTTATCATTTATTTTAATCTGACAATGGGCCAGTCTCTCTCTTCCCACAAAATTCATCAGCAGATGAGCATTGCTTTCCAAGAAAGACAGAATGAACTGGATCATTTGGTCAGTCTTTGTAGTTGAGTTGTATTTTGTGTGAAAACAAATATTTTGCCTTCAACACAAGTGCACCTAAACAAAAATATCCTCTATGGTTGTTTTTTCAGTGATCCAAAGTGAGGAATGAAAATGCAAAGTTACTAAAATTCAAACAAATCAAACAAATCCCATGCCTGTATAGATTTCACCTCAGCGCTGGGCATGACACTAATCCAAACCCCTGACCAACTGGGGAGCCAAAAATCACAGAGCAGATGCATGACCAAGGCTCAGATCTACCTGTAGGGAGCCAAAACTTAAATATCCCATAATACTTCATCAGCAGAGCCCAGCTCCTGTGTGACACTGATCTGGAAAAAAAGTATTTCATTTGTTTGCGTTTAATATCTTTCCACAGTACAGAAAGAATTAAGCACAGCTTGGACAAGAGATTAAAAATCCTAAGGTAAGTGGCCTGAACATCACGCTTATGGTTTTGCAGTGAGCCAGAACTCATCCTTATTGTTTTGGATGAGCTCAAGAACAGTTTAAGTGCCAAACCTCTCTGCTTGATGCTGAGCAAGCCTGGGAACTCAGACCTGCAGCAAAAATGAAGAAATGTAAAAATTACTCTCCAGACTGGTATTTCAGCATGATTCTGAATACAGAAAGCTGAGGCTTGTTTTGCTAGAGAAATAAGGAACAAGCCAATATACTACCACATAAAAGGGAGACCTCTGGAAGGTTTATAAATTATATTTTGGCATCCTTAGTTTCTTTAACAAACAGCTGACATGGAAAACTTTATTCTGAAATTTACTCTGCATTTATTGGTATACTTAATTTTTGAAGAAAAATTTGTTTAGATCATCATATTCATTTTTACATTTGATATTTGATATCAAATCAATTGATATTGATATTTGCTTTTGATCCACTTCATAAATCCCTTTGTTATTTACTCAGTCCTATCTCATTCTGTATGAACTTAAACATACGAGGTTTAACATATGCTTTGTACTTATCAGGCCTTTGCATAGAAACAAATTTCACTGACAGACAGAGTAAAAATGCAACTTATGCAGAATTCCACTCTCAGCACACAGAAATGAAAAAAAAAGGTATAAGAGCCATTAAGAAATAATAATAATAAAAATAACATGAACAATCATACTAGAAGATAATGATGGGTTTGAGAGGAAAAAGAAAATTTCTGTGACATTATGAGCTCTAAATAATTCATTTTAATTAAATGTTAATGTTTTTCATAAACATATGAAAATGTAGTTTTTGGGGAGATGCAGGTATAGACCAAATAGATGAGTCTATAGACAGTTTGGATAGGTACAAAATCTGACATTATTTTATTCAAAGCACGCCATCTTCACCTTTGAAATAATAACATCCCTTGGAAATGTGTGATTCTGCAATGAGCTGCAAATGTTTGCTGTAGGGACATGAGTTATAAAATAACCAGCTTGGATAGGGCAGCCAATAAACTCATTCCCAGACCTGTTTCAGGCATTAATGTTCAGTCAAAAGCAAACCCTTTAATATTTGGTTATGTACTCAAGTTAGGATGCTAATTACAATTTACTTTTCTTCCAAGTGTGTATTTCTCTCATTCTTTCTGACATATTTCATATTTTCTGTATCAGCAACTGTAGATATTCTCAAATGGGTTATTCATTTGATGATACCTCAAGCAATGACAATCCTAATAAGCCATTAACAGGTAGCTGACCTATTCAGTATCTGCAAACACACAGTGCCCTGTGCAACTGCAGAAGGGAACTCAATATGGGTGAATATTGAGCTCTGCATTGCCTGAGAAGAGACGCAGATTTTACCTTTTCATTTCTTTTGGCATCTCTTAGAAAGCTGGAGACACCAACATTTTTGGGGGTGGGGGTAGGAGAGAATAATATCTCCAGCAAATATCTGCTAGCTCTATGACATGCATGTTTTGCCACTGGGATGCAAATGATACACTCATCTCTTTCAAAGTTGCTATCTTTACATTATGGTGCCTTTCCCCTTCCTCTTCCCCTTCTCTTTTTTTTCCTTTTTCTTCCCTTTTTCCTTTCCTTTCTTACCTTTCTTTTTTTCTTTTCCTTTTCCCTTTCCTTTTCCTCTTCTCTTTTGCTTCCCTAATGCTCTCTTCTTGTGCCTGCAATTGCAAGCTCAGAGTATTTATCATAATTCAGAAATTCCCCAGGAAAAAAGAAATTAAAACTGTAAGAGGGTGTGTATTTTCATATGAGACGTTTGGGGTTTTTTTTCCTAGTCTTCAGTGAGAAATGCTGAATACAGGTCAGATATGATAAAAAGAGGTAGGTAGTGCTCTCCTTTGTCACCATGGTCAAACACCACCAAAATGAGAACTACACCTAGTGTGCAAATTTGGGATTAATTTAATGGTGTCAGGAGCACACTAAATAGGAACAATTGCTGCTTGACTGAGGGCTGCCAGTGTTTTTCACAGGGAGGCTCCTGCCCTGCCCTTGCCTGTGGCTCAGGGCTGGATTATTTCTTGCTTCTGCTGCACTCTGTGGTTTCCTCAACCACTCAGTGCTTTAAAGGAACACAACAGGAACACAACCAGAACACAACCCCAAATGTGAGCATTTCCAAAGCCAGCCTGGAGAAGAACTCACATCCAGATAAAAAATGTGAATTAATTCCTTGACTTCTATCTTTTCTCTTATTGGTGTGGTGTGGTATGGGGAAGTGTTGTTAAAATATGGCACTCATTCCTCCCAGAGTATGGGTTATATAAGAAGTGTCATGTGAATACCTTCCAGTGTGCAAGCCTCTTCTTTACAAAAAAAAAAAAAAAAACAACAAAAAAATCACCAAAAAATACCTAAAAAAAAAAAAGCCACACCCATCATCCATGTCACTGAGATGAATTAAGCTATTACAAAAAATTACTGATGTAATAATCTCATTTAAATTCTATGTTTTGCTCCTTCTTATGTGTGTGGAAATTTTCCTTCCAGATGATGAGGCAAGAGTCTCAACTCTCAATCTGTTCCAAGCACAAACACTCCTAAATGATTTGCCAGTACCTGTTCAAGCTATATACTTATTTGATGCTATTTATTTATTAGTGATTATGAACATGAGTACATGATAATACTCTACTTCAGCCACACAGGGTATAATGCAATTATATTGTTTCTTGTTCTGTTTCTTCTACTCATTGACCTATGTTATGAATTTTTTAGAAAAAATGGAATATGATGATTCTTTTATTGCCAGAATTTCAAAGACTTTCATTTTTGTAGGAAGAAAATGTAAATTACTGAAAAAAAATAAACAAACATACATTCCCAATATTTTGTATTTATATAAAAGAGAACAAATGAAGTGCCAAAAGTTAAAGTATTTCAACAAATAACATTTGTTGAAATACTTTTGAAATTTATTTGGTATTCAAAAAATACCATTCTAAGCAAAAATTTTAAAAAATCATCTTATTTCTAAACAGCACGGTGAGAGAAACAAAAAAAAATCCACATACTGAAGTACCTTGAAAATACAGCATATCTGATTTCAAAGGTTTTTTTTTTTTAATCTCAGAATGGCCTATAGAATGATAACCTAGGTTTTAGTTTCTTCCCTGAGATACTTCAAATAATAAAGACCATTGGAAAAGAGAAATATATAATGAGAATAGCCACAACCTGAAAGTACTCATTTTCCACAATATAATTAGAAAAATGCTCAAGTAAGTAACCTGGAAAGAGCAGTTATATGTCATGCCAGGGATCATGCTAAGCAAGCAAACCCATAATTGAAATCCTGTGAAAAATTTGGTCATGACAGCCTCAGCATACCTATCCTCTTGTAATTTGCCATGAATGGTTCCAGGCTGCTCTGGCATTTCTTGCAGAAAGCCATCTGACAGCTGTAGGTGTTATGCCTTGTGCCTGTAAAGCAGGAGATTATGCTGGAAAAACTTAATAAAATGGCAGCAGACAAATGAAGCAAATTGAAAGGCTCTAACTGGCTCATCCTCCCAGTCAGACAGTGGAAAATTAGAAGGGAGGAAAGTCCCAGTAATTTAAAGATGTTATGAAGTGTTCCCAGATATGTTCTAAGTAAGGATTCTAACATCTGTAATGAAGGTGGACATTTACAAAATGCATGGTATGAAAAAAGGAAAAAGTGGGTAATATGTCCAAGCCGTATTTCTGGTGTTTTAGATCCTGGAGTACTAGGATCCCATAAGATGCATTCTTTCCTTGATCCTCAGTTGTGACCCTACACCACCTAATTGTTTCAAAATACATGTCCACTTTTTGAAGCATGAAATTTTTGAGGGTTTTATCAATTTGCTTGTCTTTTACAGATGGTCATAAGTTCTGTAAGATCTATATTTTCATTTAGCCTTACAAAGAAATCCTGGCTTTTCTTCCCCACACAAGTGCAGATTGGCTCTACATCATGGTCACGCATCCAACCCACCCTGCACAGCCTATGAATGTTCATAGGTTTGCCTATGAAAAGCAAACCTCATGATTTTTTGTATGTTGAACATACTTTGTCACGCACAGATTAATTAAATAGCAGATTGCTTTAGGTCCAACAGGTTTTTGATTAAGCTAACCTTCTGGGAATGATTTGCACAGAAGAGTTTTTTTTGTCTGAAGTCTGCACACCTGAACTGCTCAGTACAGGCATAGAAGGTACAATGTATCATGGTGTGCCTAAATCCATCAGAAATAACTTTTCACTTTTTTTTTAGAAAGGTGCTTCTTCCGTGGTCCCACGGACTCCTTCTTACACAGAGTGCCTTTTGTGTGAAGGCAGAGTTGGGACAAGATAGAGTCAACACTTCCAAGGTATCCTTTTGGGAGGTCTTGTAATTTTTTGTTTCCCTTAGCAGCCAGGCAAAATCTGGAGCAAACCTTAGTTGTGAATTAGTACCAGAAGTTCCAATTAGGATCTGAAAGGAAGAAATGAAGAAGTGGGGGAGGTGGTGAGGTGGTGAAATGTGTGTATGTATGTGTGCATCCCCAGACTGCGGAGTGCTGGTGTGAAGGATCCCGTAGAGAGCAGGGAACGGAGCCAGATCTCATGAGGAGTTACAAGTATAATTTTATTTAAAACTGAGTCTCATGGAGTGCTCCTGTTACTCAAGCTTCCTTAGTGTCACTTCTTAGTTGAGTAACTGCAGTCACCAGTGTGGCAATGCTCGTACTGGGAATTTCAAAAAAGCCTAAGGGAATTAGAGGCTTTTGAACTAAGTTATCTCCCCTAGGCTCTCCTAAAAACCTCAGGCTTAATCTTTTGTCTTGCTTCTTTCTTTAATGATGTCTGTAATCTTTTCCCCCTCACTTGCAGGCATCAAAGAGACTCTTTCCCTCTTGAAAATTGACAACATTTAATCACTGGTAAAATATAAATTTTTCTTAAACTCATCACTTGGGAGCCCCTACTCATCTAGAGCACCATATATGCTCAAGTGACAGCTATCATCTGCTTTCATTTGCATTGGGGAAATACTGAATTACATGGAAACATTGAATGTGAAAGCTTATCAGGTACTTAGCTTGGCATTATTTTTTGTGCTCTGCCAGAGCTGATGTGTGCTGTTTATGTCTAACAACTATATTATTATGGTTATTGAGCAAAACAGCTGCAGAATGAATGTTCATTTATTTTCAGTTGCTTTTCTGCAGATCAGGTGATGCTAAATTACACTGTCTGCAGTTTTTATCATAGTGCAAAATGTAGCATAATTTTAAATCCATAATTTTAATTCTTTTATTTAAAATTTTGCCTTTACAGAAAAACAGTCCAAAGATGAAAACTGATACAGAATACCATACTGTTCGCTGACAAAGTGGCACCTTATGCTAGTGATTTAAATGAAATTTTCAAGGACAAGACTAAATATGTTAGACTAAGCATCTGGTTTTACAGGCATTTGCTGCAGAAACCAGGAGACTGAAGGAGGTGTTCACAATTCATGTTCTGAAACATTTTCATCCAAGTGTTTTGTGTAGATACAAAAAGAGAGCCTTTAGAGATTCCCCCACTTTGCAGCCACCATCAGAACCAGTTCAGTTTGTCTCCTGGTGGCTTGAGGCTGTTCATCTGGATAGTGTGATCAAAAGGAGTAATCATGCATCAGCCTCCCCAGTGCCTGTTTAAAGGCACCACAGACACTGTGGGACCAGCAAGCTCTGCTCTCTTAATTTCACTGACCTCACTGCACCCTAAGGCTTCCCTCTACAGGCATCCAATCCAGCACTGCCATATTTGTGTCACATCTAGCCTGTAGGTACCAGTCCCATGTGACTTAATAATGCATATTTCCTGAGCAGAGAAATTAAGAAAGCCTAGTTTCCCGTGGCTTTCTGCCTTACGGCTGCATTCCTTGGTGCTAAAGAAAACATAAAATGAGTGAGCAGTGCTGCTTTAAAGGTGGCATCTCCAAAGGAGATCTTAGAAGGGTGAATTCTCTAGTCACCAGCAGGGATATATTGCTAAAAAAAATCCTTTTTCTGTTGCTTGATCTTTGATTTTAGGTAGTCTGGAGGAGTAAGACCTTTACTCTTATGAATTAACCAACAGGTAAAAAGTTACTAATGGGCAATGGCAAATGGATAAATTGGCACATATAAATGCATACCCAGAGCAGAAAGCAGGAAGATTAATTTCAAAAAGAAAATACATTTTAAAAAAAGTGATTTGAATGAAAATTTTGCTAGTGGGTGGGGAAGAGCTCCTTATTGATTCTTCCTGCCCCTCCATCTATCGCCCCCTCATAATCTTCTACAACTGCTTTGCCATTTCTGAAGGTCAGGCTAAATCTCAACATATGCTTTTAATTTGAGGTCTTAAGGCATCATTTCCCAAACTAGGAAATCTGGAACCAAGCCTGAAAGTACAAATAGGAGTGGAGTCGTGAATGGAAAAGTTTGGCAACTGTGGTATAAAGCTTACTCATTCAACCCAACCAGACTTTCAGCAAGATGTGCTCGGTTTACAACCGAATTAAGCAGCTCCTTACATTGATGGCCTTCAGAAAAAGGCACCTTGTAGAGCTGTGCTGTCTGTTATGCTCTCCGAGTTGCAGCCCTCATTATAAAACTCAATATTTTAATCAATATTTAGTTTTCCCTGTGCAATAGATCTTTTAACAAAAATCTCTGTGGAAATTCTGCTATAAGAACAAACAACTCTACTCCCTTCCCCTTCTCCCCTGTGGGTACTGGCTCTTTCACAAAATGGTCTCGTATAAAGGCAAGTGCAAGGCTGTCACTGTATGATCGGATGAAAGGATGGAACCCTGCTGCTGGTGATGTTGAAATTATCTCATAAATATTGGCTGGAATTCTGTTCTTGCAGGCAATGGCAAAAATTCCCTGGCAACCCATGTGGGAGAAAGGGATTTCCCTCTTGTCATAGGCTGTGGAGGGTGAATTTTTCAGTGTGGGGGTGTTTGTGGTTAGTGTTGCTGCAGTAGTATTGTGAGTGGTTCTAAGAAATTCCCTGTCCCCAGATTTCAGTGTAATGGGTAAAATAACTCACTGGTTCTGACTCAGTCTTCTCATTCATTTGTGGCTGTATGATTTAGGGTATCAAAGCAGTAAACTTTGGCAGGGATTTTTATGGGAAAAAGGAAGGACAAAAAAAGAGTATGATCCATGGACTCTTTCCAGGGAGTGTTTCACGTGTAAACTTCATATTTTATTTTTTTTTTAATTTGCCTTGCTTTTTTTGTTTTTTAAAAAATATGTTTACTCCCATTTACCTCCATTTGGAACTGTCCTCAAAAAAAAAGATGAAAAAATCCATGCCTGTTATATTTAAGCAGACTAGGAGTAAATGACCGATATGCTCAAGTGATCTGAGACCTTTATCATGACTCTGCCTACTGTTGTGACATTTAAGTTTTGAATGGTTCCACTTTCAATCAGGTATCCAACCTGAAATGTTTTTATAGCACTGCTGTGCACACAGATCCTGTGGATAATTGCTATAATCACTTCACATTTGCAAATGCTCTTTGGGGACTTGAACCCAGGTCTTGCTCCTGCTCTATTACAGGGGAAGTAGAAGGAGCAGCTCTTCTAGTTCACAATAGCCTTGGCAAAGAGTAGTTATTCTGAACTCTCAATTATATGCAGAAAATCTGCGCATCCTGCCCAATTAAGATTTCTTTTTCCCATGGAGCAGGTTCTAAATTTTTAAATAGTTTGATTGGAATTCTAAAAGCAGCAAGAGAGAAGATTAATCTTGTTAATAATTAGAAAGCTGAATGCTAACATTTTTCCCCCATAGGAGCTGCCTCAATGTTATTACCCTCACAGCTAACAGCAGTTATAGTCTGTGTGTAAGGAACCTAAAGCACATGTAAATTGACCAACAATTTGTTTAAAGTGTAAAGTTTAATTGTGTCTGCCTCTTGATTTGCACTACAAAATGGAAGGATACAGGGACAAGGTAAACCAATTGATCCCATGACTGAAATGGTCAACCTACATCTTTGCTTTCCTTGTGGTATAAGGAAATGTTGCCTCTAAGCCACATCCTCTGTAAACCAAGACAAGGAAATGTGCAAGCCCCTCTGACAACTGAGGATGTATTAGGTGTTGTTCAAACAAGCCTTCTGCACTCTCTGCTAAGTGCAGGCAGAGTAACCCAGAGCATGAGGCAAAAATCCTTTTTGATGGGTTCTTCCTGGACAGTGGTTCCCAAATATGGTTTATTTGTCAGGATCACTTTTTCTCTTCCTCTATGTCTTTGGCATAGGGCTTTCAGAGACCTTACACATAGCCATCAAAATTTCCATCTAAAATATCTGTTAAAAAATTTAATTCTTATTTCTATAATCGTGGAGATATGTTACTTGTTACAACCTTGTCAGGGTCGCAAGAGAGCAGAGCATGGGATAACTGCAAGTTTAGTTGTCAGATGGTGACTTTTTGGTTCTTATTGTGACTAGATTTTTGAACTAAGGTCCCACTCTTCACTTGAGAGCATGCTGATCACTAATAAAAATTTATCCCTCTTTTTCTTTCTCTCCAATTGCAATATCTAATTAAATATTGTAGAGAACACTGCCAACACAGATGGCTGGCAGATATGATATACCAGTCCACCTTTGCTGCCACCATATGCAACAAACAAGACAGGAATTAAGGGGCTCCTTTCTAAAGTGGAGATATAAAAAAATAGTGTATCATAATGCAGAAGGGAGATTATGATGATGGCAGACCAATAATAACTTGGTTATTTCTTTTTGTTTCTGTGCTTAACTACTTGAATAATTGTATTTAAATACTTGTCACCAAGAATGTGTGGTTATATGTGTATATTAAATTTATTAAAAAGAGTATTCAAAGTTAGATCGGGGAAAAAAACCTCATTTTATTAACTACAAAAGACTTTTAAAAACAAAAGAAGCATTCACGAGGTTTCTCCCGCATTTAATAACCATCATGGTTCATTATTCAAGTCCAGTAACATACATTGGGTGAACTGAGATTAAAAGCTTATTCTCCTCTTTTTGAGCAATTTATACTAAAATAACCATAAATTTTAAAATGGAATGTCATAAAACTGGAATTTTTATTTATTTACAAGATGTTGACTTTTGTCCTATATGACAAATTAAGATATTAATCACAGTAGATCATTATTGTTTTCCCAGCAGTTTGACTTCTCAGAAAAAAGATTTTTTATTTTCAAAATATCCCAACTGCTTACTAAATATCAAAACCATTTAAAATTGTGTAATATTCCATCCATCATCTATATAATTTCTTTGCTCCATTAAAGGAGCTAGAATTATGAAATATTAGAATTGTGGAAAAATATTTGTGATGAGCAGTAAGATACAGTAGAAGAAAAACCCAAGGGAACCTGAAGTATTAATCCTCCATCCTGAGGCTTTGGTCTTTCTTGCATCTAAAGAAAAGCATTTCTTTTTATGTAAATTTCAGTCTGAGATAATGTACAGGTGAATTCACTGGTAAAACTGAAGGAGGGGGTTGAAAAGATATTAAAGTCTTTCATAACTGTATGTCTTTTTTCTAGTCTGTGTATCTCTTCAAGGATGGAGAGAGATAATAAATCATATGCTACATTTCAGAGAAACTTGTATCATGTCCAGACCTTTCTTATTATTTGAAGATTTCTCCATAGATCAGGATTGGCTTCTGTAGTTATGAATGAATATGAACTCAGAATTCTTTTCTTACATAAAAGGGATTTTAGACAGACTTTTTTTCTTTTTTAGTAACTCTAGCACAATGACTGAATTTACATTTAATTTTTTTTTATTTCAACATAAAAATATAAGGGGAAAAGTCTCCATAGCCTGATGATATACCTGTTCAGTGAATTCTGTTCAAGATATTTTTAATAGGAAAAAAAATTTTCATATGAGAGTTTGAGAAAAAGAATATTCATAAAGAATAATTTTTACATTTTACAAGTATATCCAAGAGGTGCTGTTGTGATGGACAGAACTCAAAATTACATTTCCAATTATCAATAGTGGTCACGACAGGACAGTAAGTTTTACATCAGCATTCATTTAATCTTCTACAGAAGTTTAGAATACCTAGCAGTTGTCATACTGTATTTTAAAAATATATCAAAAATTATAGTTGTGAATTACCATCATCAAATATAATTGTACACGATCATCGCTATCATAGCACTGCAAGTTAATGTCTCATATTAGCAGTAAATCACATACCTTAAATGGGTCCATGATGCATTTTTATGAACTCTTTAATGTGCATTGGTGAAGAATGCAAATTGTGGAGAGAAAAAGAACTTAGGCAAAACCATTTTTTAAAATTTCAATATAGAAAGCCAAAAAATTGAAAGTGGTCAGGGCATTTAAGCAGATATTAAACTAGATTACAGGGATTTTTTTTCCGGATTGGGTGCTTCACTTTACAAAAGAGTGTTTCAAAAGCTGCCAGAATGAGGTGGGAAATCCAAAACTTATACAAAAATAGCTTTGGGGGAACAATTCATGAGACAACTCATGAAAGAACATGAAGTAGTTTCTCACACAGAAATTTGTAGCTTCAATAGGTGATTATTATGCTGTGTGTATTTTTGCAGTCTTTGTAGTCAAGGTTCTAAGATTGAAGAGGGAAATGACAATTTCCCTCAGTACTGGAGAAGAAATAATTTCACAAGTGATTAAAGTTTTTTCTTTAATCAGAAAATATGAGTTTGTGAGTATATATAAATAATTTATAACAGAAAACTGGACATTTTCAAAATATTTTTTTAGAACAAGACATTAAACATTTTCAGTCCTTTCTAAAGGGGATTAGACATTGCTGTTAACCCAGATGGATGTGCTGAAGGAGGGTAGGGCAGTGCAGGTCTGATGGCAGCTCTGGTCCAGAGACATCAGTGCAACACTGGTCAGCAGCAGAGAGAGGAGAAGAGCAGGTCATGGCACCACAGGGACGATGGCTGGGAGGCAGATCACTTGCAGACACTCTGTAGGATCAAGAATCCCAGTCCCATTTCTGCAGAAGGAAGGACAACCAGTAGCTGAAGTCAAGCAGAGTGAGACCAGGGACTCCAGCCAGAGTAGGAACTGAAAGATGGTGACTTTTGGCACGAAAAAGGATGTGTCTCCTTACAAGTGTTTGGTTGGAATAGTGGATTCTGGAAGCAGGGAAGTACCCAAAGTGATTGCATCTGATTCAGGTGACAGTAAGTGCCTCAGGCAGGAAGGGTAAAGGATGATGGAAGTCATCTGTGAACAAAATTTGCTGCAGGACACTTTTTTGGAGCACCTGAGCCCTAAGTCTGTAATACTGTGAAGATTTTTCTGAGGCTCATCTGGGACTCAGGCTATTACTGATCGCTGCTACTCCATGTGGGTGTTGTGACACTGCCAACAGAGACCTTGAGCAGATCAAGGGTAACTACTTGAATTTAGAATGATGGGTAAAGAGAAACTGTTGGTGTTTTCCTCAAATCTGCTGGTCAAGGGGATTTTATGGATCAACACTTGGCTGTGTGGTGGGCAGGGATCTGTCTTCCACAGGCATGGGAAATTTTTAATGACTAGAAAAGAGCAAATGCTACAGTTGTTTTTAAAACAGACAAGATGAAAGATCCAGGGAACAGCAGCCAGTCAGCTTCACATGACTCCTGTGGAGGACTGTAGAAAGCACTCTCCTGAAAGTCATTCCCAGAAAGACATGAAAGATAAGAAGAAGACTAGGAGAACCCAGTCACACCAATAGAAGAGGGTAAATCATGCCTGACCAACCTGATTGAACAATGTTGAACATTCAACTGTGTTGAAACAACTGTCTCAGTGACTGAGGGGGGTGTGTTTGACTTTAGCAAAGCTTTTGAAAGGATGTCCCATGGCATCCTTGTAGTCAAACTGATAGTTATGGGGTAGATGATGGATTATAAGGGGAGTAAAAGACTGGCTGTACAGCAGTGTTCAAAGAGTGTTGAAAGCATGACTGGCTGACAGGTACGGGAGGCCTCAGGAGCTGATGTTGGGGCAATTAGTGTTTGATATCTTCATTCAATGGGCTGGATGATGACATGTGATGATTTTCCTTCAGATTCACAGAACTGCCACTCAAAGAGACCTTGACAAGCTGGAGTAGCAGCTGCAGAAATCTTATGAAGCTGAATGAAAACAAATGCAAAGTTCATGGGGAGTGACTGCCTGGGAGCAGCTCTGCAGGGAGCCCTGAGGGACTGTGACTGAGCACAAGACAGCAGGGTGGCATTGCAGAAATGAGTTGTAAGTGTGCACTGGGACACACTAATACGCCATAAGAAGTCAGTAGACAAAGAGAATATATAACCACCCTCTATTCAGCTTTCATGAGGCTTCATCTGAAATACTGTGCCCAATTTTGGCATGCTTCCCAAGTGTTGGATGGTAAACTGGACAAGGCCCAGCAGCAGTCCAATGAGATGGGAAGTTGTGTGAAGCACAGGGAATAGCCATAAAGAAAAGGGAATGTAACTTCTTCCTGTGATAAATTGATGGCTACAGAGAAGATTTCCAGGCTCTCCTCTGAGATCCACAGTGAAAGGGTAAGAATAACATTAATAATTTGTAAAATTAAAATTCTGGCTAGGTATATTAAAAAAAATTATAATGAGAGTGGTTAAATGCCAGAAGAGGTTGCCCAGCAAGCTTGTGGAATCTACAGCTTTGGAAATACTAAAAATTTGACTGGAAAAAGCACTGAGTAAGCACTGATCAGCAAAGAGCACTGAGCAGAACTGATCACTGATTTGATCTTAAGGATGCATCTGTTTTTAACAGTGTTGCACTAAATTACCTCCAAAGGTCACTTCCAAAAAAAATATTATATTATTCTGTATTAAATTTATATCTATGCACTCTTGAGAGTTGAAGATATTTTACATCCTACTCTAGTCCAGGAATGAAACTTATGGCCACAAATAATTAGTACTCTAATTAGGTTGAGAGAACTTTCTGCATCTGTGTCTCTCTGAGTCTCACTGACTAACAGATAATTTTATGTGTATGAGAGAAACCTCTTATGCATGAAAGCTTCCAACAATGCAAATGTTTATGATCCTGATACAGAGCAACCATATGTAAGCAGATGATTCATGAGATTCAGGCTTCTGTTCTGTGTTTCAATCATGTCTGATTTATGAAATGTAAACAGTGGATCCAAACCCATCCTAGTTGTCAGTGGTCCTTGTGAGGCAGTAAATGTCATGAATTTCAAACTGTTTAAAAATCTTTCAAAACTGCTCAGCATGCAACTGCTTTTATAGTTACATGAGCTTTTAAAATGCACATTTCCTGAAAGGCAAGCAAGCGGGAATAATTACTATTCATTTTTTTCCTCTCAGCTTAGAGAGTTAAATTGTACTCAACAGTTATTTCTCCCTAGTGCATGATACAGCAGAAATCCTTCCAGGGCAAATGCACTGCAATCACAGAGTTGGCTTCAACAGCAGAAGCACTAAAAGAAGTAATTCAGATTAATGAATGGATGATGTAGATACACTCTGTCAGCACTGTTTGCTACAGGGATCTCCTAAAGCTCTGGAAATGAAGACTTCCTCTGGAAAGTTTGTTTGCTTAGCCTGTGGTAGCTACTGAGAATCTGTTCTTTTAAGGACCCTATTTCTCCCCACTCCATTGACTTCAGAAAGATTATGGGGTTTTTTTGTGCATGAAAAGGGTGGACATTGCAAAGCACAAAACCCAAGCATCAAAAGACTTCATCACTGTCAGCAAGAAGCTCGTGATGTTTTCCCAAGGAACAACCCACACATTCATCTGTCTTTAATAAAAGCAGATCTGCCTGCCTGTATCGGCTGATGTGCTATGCTTGCTTTGGAATAAGAATCATGCGTTGTTTTTTTTTTCAGTGGGAGGGTTTTCAAGATTTATGGGTGTGCTGAGAAAACATGGGAGGAATCTGCCTGGAGGGCTGATGGATCTCCATGGAGTGAAAGATGTACTGAATGAAGTGCGTTTATACATACTGTCCTTGGCTTGCAGTGCAGCTTTCCAAGGGTGAGCCTCGCCCAGCCTCTTGAGAAACAACTTATTTAGTACTTTCCTCTCCATATGATTTGTTAGTTTATGAGAACAGAATTGTTGAGACTTGTTGCAGAAATGTGAGTAATCATATTAATGGATGTGGCTGTGAAATGGGAGGTTGTGGGAAACAAGATCTTAAAGTTGTGAAACACATATATCCATATACCTTAACAAGCTAAAATGTTCCAGAAGTTAAGTAAGATGTTATACAAAGGTACTACAACATTTTATAACAAATTCTTGAGAAATTAAAAAATAAAATTGTGCTTTGGAAGTTTTCAGACTAATTAGGTACCTTGAAGAAATTCTTTATAGAAAATGTCACCAATAATTTGATACAGTAAAAAAAAAAAATCTAACTGGGCCAAAAGGAAAAGTTTGGCATAATAGAAGCAATTAGCCATTTAACCACAAACATTGCATACTGGTCTAATCTCATTCCTGGAACTAAACTATAAAGTGTATCTATGTTCTTCTAGGAGAGAGCTCAATATTACATTTTTAGTCCCATCATGCCTTAATCCTGCCCCCTGACCTCAATAATCTAGTCATTACTAGAGTCATTTAAGATCATGACATATATTCAAATCTCTTCTGTCATGGAAGGTAGCAGAGATTTAACCTCTGGGACTCCAGCCTTCTGTGCTAGCTTAGAAAGTAGTGTATCTTCCTTTCTTTCCTTTTAAATATCCTGTGTTTGCATAAAATATTCAGACTTTTGCTAAAGGAAGAAAGAATCATCACTACTAACATCATGAATATGACTAAAAGGTCTCATATTTCTCCCACTTAAGCATTTTGTATTTTGTACCTGGTATCCACCACTTAACTGTTCCAGTCACTCAATATGAATATAAAAAGAAAACATCACATCCTTATGGAATCACAAAATTCATCACTCTTTATGAAAAAACCTTTCTATTCATAGAGTTTTTAGAGAGGCTGCAGGTCAGATGACAATAGCTAAAATCATTCCTAGCTACAAGGTAACTCACTGCCGTGATTAGCTGCATTAAATTGTAGATTTATTAGTGCTGAACCATCAGTTTCAGGTGAAATTTTGAAAGGTGCTCTAGCCAAACTAGGAATTCTGATATTCTCAGGACTGAAGATCACAGCTGATACCTCTGCAGTTAGTAGAAATGGGAGGGGCTTAGGGAGCTTGGGTTTCTAGAAGCATTGCTAGCAAATTTAGGACAAAAAAAAGCCTCAAAGAACTGGGGATCAAGCTTATGCACACAGCTGAAACAGGGTTTAATCTCATTCTGGCTGTGTTACAATACCATTTAAAATGTTTAAAAGCCCATACCTATTTTGTGTACAGAAGATATGCTAGTGGGCATCTTTAGTTCTCTATATGTTAGCAATGAAAACAAACTGGATTATGCCCTTAATTACAATACCTCTCCCCTCTCCTTAAGAAAGGAGTCTCTCTTAATATCTTCTATAGTTCTTTCAAATGCATGGATGGAATCCTACCTGCAGCTGTCATACCTTTTTATCAGCTGTACAGCTCATTAAGTAACACCTCAGGTTGTAGTTTTATTTTATTACCTTGAGAGTTGTTCTGTAATTAGCCAATGTACAGAATAAGCTCATAACCTATAAAGTCCCTCAATATCTATCACTATGCTTGTTTTGATATAACCATACCTTTTAAAATAGGTGAGTTATCCACCTTATTGACTTAAACTTTATTTAGCCACTACTGCTAAATAAAGTTGAGGAGGACAAAAAATTAAAAAGCTAGATCTTTATGGGAAAAGTATTTACCTGTGTTTACTATCTGGAGCTGATATTCACTGTTGATGGATGGGAAAATAAGTCTTTCAGTCTAAGCTGTAGGTAGGATATCTCCGGACGTCAACAGCACAGAGACATACCAGTGTCATAGCCATAAAGCATCAGGGAGTGTACTTCTGAGTTCAGGAAATTTGTGAATTTAAATCTGCCTACACCAGCTCCATTAGTGAACCCGGGTTTCAGTCCAAATTAAGGATAAATTCAGTTTTGCATCATCCTGTGGAACAAAACTTTGTATTTTGCTCAGAGACAATGCAAAGAAAAAGCACAGCTCATATGTGTCTGAGGAATTGAGTGTAGTCAAATCTGTACCAGAGCCAGCAACAGCTGTAGGTCCTATATGTAGCAGCATATAATGCTGTCAATGCCTACACACCCAGCAGAGGTTACAAAATCTCTTGAGAAATCTGCAGGATGGGTTTTACACACATCTCCAAACTGGATTGGCATCTGTCATGAAAGTATTGACCTTCAAGAAGCATCTCATGGTGATCATGATATGCAGGAAAACAGCTCAATATTTAATACACAAGAATTTGAGGATTGCTTGCTTATAAGCACCTGCAATGTTTAAAATGCTGACTGTTGTGTGTTAATTCTCTCATACTGCTCTTTTATTTTGCTGATTCGCATACAGAATGTTTTTGGGTTTAGTTCACCTAATCTTAAAATGTGGATGAACTCTGGGTTCTGATTGCTTGTGGAGTTCAGAGATTAACAGACTACCAATTGTCAGCTCAGAGAACATCTTCATCTCAGCATTAGCATCTTCTGAAGCCAGTGGCCACTATGCCAGTCAGAAATAAAGACTTTTGTGCTGCATTCCAGACAGTTGCAAGAGAAGATGGTCGGATACTATAATTTAAGCACAGAGAGGGAAAGTTAAACAAGGGTCATATAGCAGTTCTCAGCTTCAACAGGAGAAATCCCTGTTTCTTGGCTTATTCAAGTTAACCATTATCTAGTGCTGTGCTTGTTTTCTTGCACATGCTGATTGTTCTTATTGCATCTGTTTAGAAAAAATGCACTAAATACCTACTGAAGTATAATTCCATGTGAGTCCTGAGAGTCCTGATACAAGATAGCATTAGAACTGAGTTCTGCCCAATTAGAAAGCCAAAAAGTACTTCAGTGGTGCTTTTGATTTTCGTCATTGTGAACCTATTGCCTCTAATACAAGATTTCATTTTATAAATTGCTGCAAAGATGCATACAAAAAGATTAACCCCTGACAAAAACATGAGTTTAGATAGGAAAGGCAGGCCAAGACAGAAAAAAATTCTAATACTTTCAGGTGCTTCAGATAATCTATTTTAGACTCTGCTCTCTTATGGCACTACTTAATGGATTTAAAGAAAGGGAGAGCGAAGAAGGAGTGACCAGATCTGTTGAGTGTTAAGAAGCCATTTAAATGAAACTTAATTTCCTAAGGTTAAGGGCATTTCTAGCACTCAAAGGGCAACATGGACTCCAAGACAAATTTTGCAATTTTATGAACACATCTTCAGAATATATGAAATCTGATCATTTCACATGATCTTTGAAGGGGCCACTGAACATGCAGGGATGAGGGAGGCAGCAGACTTTTCAGAGACCCACAGAGACTTGGAGGGATGAGATAATGCTTTTCATGGGCACATGTGCCCTTCAATAACCTTGTACTTGACTATACCAGTGCCAGGGCTGTATAAACAGGTCCATTATTAGACTACTCTTCTTCCACATGTCTGCATGAAGCACTCTCTATTTTTTCAATCTCAGGAGGTACAGAGAAAAATAATTTACTTTAAATGATTTTTTGATGAAAAGAAATCTTACAGAGAATTTCACGTTTCACACTTGCACAATTTCTTTTCCTTTTCCTTTACTTTTTTTTTTTTTTTTTTTTTTGGCAAATATCTTCCTCATCTTGTTGGCGAATACTTAGGGAAGAAGTAAGATCCAACCAGTCTGACATTTAAAACCAAATGTCTCAAGGTAAGAATAAGAACAGCTGTCAGTAGGAATTAGCAGAAGCCAGCACTTGAGAAGAGGTTGGTATTTGACAGTGTTCATGAATACATTTCACACTGAAGATGTTACCTTTCAAACTTTAGGTTTCCCTTTTCTTTTTAAGCAATGCCTGGCCTTACTAACCCTTTTAATGTTATGAAGTGGTACAATATTTTATACATGACAAGCGTGAGGGAAGAACCCTATTATCATTCTCTCATGTACGTGTTGTAACATGAATTAATGCAAGGAGGGAAATATTCATCCATTTCATGAGGACAGCTGAAACATTTGCTGCCAAAATTCCTTGCCTGTCATTTATTACTGACATTGGGAACATTTTTTACGTACTTGTGAAAAAGCTTTCCAAAAAACATTGGAGTTTATGAATTGCTTGCAAATTTGCAGCTGATAAAGGTGAATATTCAATATCTTGCAGGGCTTAGATTTCTCTGTGGATTTAGAAGTAGCCTGTATATTTAAATTGCCTTACATGGCAATTTAGATTTGCTCATAATGTGCTACATGCTCGGTGACGTTTCCTTGTGCTGTTATTCCAGTTAGCAGTTAGGTCAGTGCATACTTATGTCTCCTGCAGAGAAACTCAGCACAGGAGGAGGAAATCCTTTGAAATTCCTCAAGGTTTCCAAATTCCTTTTGTAAGAAGAATAAATATTTTTGAGGATCTCTTATGCAGCCTACTGTTAAAGCACAGGGAATACTCATCAGACCACAGTATAATTACCATATTCATTAATTAAGTCTGCAGTGCACTAAACTATTTTGACAGATTTTCTCTGACTCAAAGTGAAGCTGAAGGTCTTCTCCATTTTCTCAAGGTTGTATAGTAGCCTATAGAATTTTTAATTGTATTAAGGAAATAGAAATATTTTAGAAAACCTGATTTTTTTAAACTAAACTATAATTTTATTTAATCCCTTTATTTCCAGAACATTTTTCAGACATTTTTTAAAAGAAAAATAAGCCACGTAAAACATCAGTGAAATTTGTAGAGGTCAATATGTATGTCCAAGGGAAAATCAAAACAGAAGGTTGTCCTTGAAGGAGAAGTACTTCAGGACTAAAATCAGGAATTTTCTGCAATGAAACATTTCCACCTGCAAAGAGGAAACTTACCAGAACTGAAGCTTTCCAAAGGAACATGTCAAATTTGACAAAACCACCACATGGAAGGTCTGGTGGAAGTCAGAGAGAAACCAGGAGAGAGAGAGATGGAGAGAGAAAAAAAGAGAGGGTGGGGGGGGATAAAAATGCTGTGAATCAGGATAACCCAGACCATTCCCTAGCCCTGAAGAATTATTGCATGATGTTTTGTTATCTAATCAAATGCACTTCCCTGAAAACAGCAAAATGCCTCCAAACTATCTCTTGGACACCAAACTATGCCTGGCCACTGTGAGACAGAACAAATTTTAAGCAAAACCAATGTAGTGAGTGTCCTATTAATTGAATGGTAAAGATGATAATATTGTTCTTGCTGTTAGAGGTTAAATGGATTAACTATCTTCAT